ATTCATCCTCTAAAATTCTTACGAAACAATTCGAATGAAGAAATATTTTTGCTTCAGCAGAAATCAATACAGAATAGAGATCAATTCAGGAGAAAATAAAAAATGAAATCTTTAGTGTTTAAATTAAAAATCTAACAATATTGTCCCCATAAGATGACCATGGTAATACTTTAGCGAAACGTATCGTTTTAATTTAATATTTTTCGTTACATTACATATGTTTTTGTTGGAAATAAAATAAGGAACATTTTATAATTGCCCACAACGTTATTTCGTTTTACCAAGTGTACATCAAGCGTAAATGCTCGTTTCTGAACATAAAAGTACATGCGTGGTTTTAAAAACGCTTTATGTCGTTGTTAATATAATGTACGTTTTACGATTCTAGTCTGTTAACGTCTACGAAGAGTGAATTCTTATGGATAAATGATCACTAATGTATTATAACGGTGTAGTCGCGCATCGCGATATCGCGACCTTTGCTCGAAGTCAAGAGGGCGCGATGTAATCTCATTATTATATTTAAAATTCCATGACCTTTAAAATTAAATACAATGATATGTCTACTTTAATAAATTGCTGTTTTTGTGCATTCGTAAAGATATAAGGTTAATGAAAACAAATTCTTGTATTTTCCAAATAGCTTATTATTACCCGACTTCAAAAAGAAGGTTATCATTTTAATTAGCAAAGTGTGGACCAACAAATTAAACCGACCATCTATTACAGTGAAACTTAGTGACAATACCACTCGATGAATGTCAAAAACTTCAAAAAGAAGTTTGAACTGTAGCTGTTTTGACATGTCTTGACTTATGTCATTTTCTATGTCTACAAAGGGTCTATCAGGAATATTTGCGTTACAGTTTTTCGCACTATAATATACCTAGTATTGTGGCAAATAAGACTTACCTAACCTAAACCGCCAATCAATTATTTACATAGATTTATCTTGTCACCCTTCCTTTGACATCAAACCACTACAATAAATTTAAAGCCCAGAGTAAATGCGTGTCTGTATTATATTTTACGACCTAAGAGGATGCAGCTGGTGTAATATTGTTGTTGAATTTCAAAAACATCCTCCCTACGATTATAGTTGAAATGCAAGTCTGTTTTTTTAATAAAGGTGCTGCTCGCGTGCTTACGTGTCGTTTAACCTTTAACTAAATTTCCGCGATAAAGGTGTAACCCGTATTCGGATTGTGGCCATTCTAGTCGTTTTATTCTAGTAAAAGCGTGGCTGAACTAGCTAATCAATCCAAAGTCGGCCATAAATGATTCAAAATTGCTGCAGGAGTACATATTTAATGTGGAAATAATTAAACTATATTTGTGAAGATAAAATTTTGGTTTGATAGTTTCTTAAGCAGTCCATTAGCACAGATTCTCGTTAAAAATCTACTCGAACGAAGTCCTTGGGTGGCTATTAACCTACCCTTAACGAGGAGTCAATGTTATGCAACGGAGAATACACGTTTGCATGTGATATTCGATAAATTTTCCATGTAGTTCCAGGCAATGTATCAGCATAATATCGGGCGATGTCCAAATAATAAAATAATGTATAGTTTCATATAGATATAGAAGCAATTATGATATTTAAATCTTGAAAATCTATTGTTGAATGATTGCGGTACCGCCTTTACCCGAACTTGGTAATTTTTCCACGAATCATTCCCTTAGTCGATCTATTGATGCCGGAGCTTCAATGTCTCTTTGTCTGATTTAGTAGGTAGAACACGTGCCTGTATTGGTCGCTGTCTTCCACTTGTACCCTAAAAATAAACGTGACTCTGATGTCATAGAACAAGTGGTACGTACATCGTTCTAAAACGCTTCACGGTATGACATCAGTATAGCCCGCAACAGTCGTCTATTCGGACATTGAATTATTTATATTCTCACTGAGCCAACTGAATCATCGTACTTTTTTATACAATAACAATTTTTATTCCAACTTTCCACAAAAAATGTATTGTCGTCAGGGCTCTTGAATTTTAAACATACACATTGCTTGTAGGACTGATTTATATTTTTGTTCGAGATGGAAATTTAAAGAAACATTAGTAACAACAGCAAACTCTCAGTTCTTCAACCATGAGATTAAAATGTATATCAATCAAGTCGGATATGTGAACATCTTTGTGTACAAGAAATGGAAATACAGACAATGTAAAACTGCGTACTCTATCTTTCTTATTCTACAGTTCCAGTTCGAAAATATAGATATCTTGTATTTAAATCGTAATACATACAAAACATAAAGATAATGGTCGGTAATTATTTTTCGGAGAATATTACCAAAACAATCTCTCACAAGAGACAATAACTCCGGAGAATCTTTAATACGAATCTATTTTTAATGACTGTTCTTGCTATAACCTAAGTCAAGGCAATGAGCTATAAGATAGCGTTTTCAAAACAAACCATACCACTAGATAATATGCAAATGTATAATTATACTTTAGCTCGCCCACATTAAACTATTGTGCGGGCCGCACGTCGCACGTCTAATCATGGTGCTGTAATCACGGAGTTATTACGTCGCGGAGTGCGTCACTCGTTGATACCGCATCGCGTCGTGTTGTGCTGGGCTTCTTGATACATGCAGAGAGACACATCAACATTCCGCCTCAGTCATATAAACCTATATACTACACAATTGATTGATTTGATTGAATTACAGGCGAATCATTCGGCAAGACTCTGTGTACGATACAAATAATGAACAAGAATTAGATACTGCCTCAAGAGATACTGTACTGCAACGCTCCTGCTGTATATCCCGGCTGGAAGCAGGCCAGCCGCAGTCAGCTCAGATGCCGCTCACTACCGTGACTTGCTCATGACGTTGTATAGTTAAAACGTAACATGTATCCCAGACACCCATACGCGTGCCAAATGTAAAGTTCAACGTAAATTTGGCAGGAGCCATATTTACGCAGAGCCGCTACGTTACGAGGAGATTGTCCCGCCACCTAGATATGTTGTAACACTGCGGTAGGCGTGGAATTTTTATTATGGCTATTTGGAATGGCGAAAAGAACTATAATGCTTTTTCCGACTAATAATAGCCATCACAGCAGTTAATATTATCAATATAAAATATGGCCAAATAAGAAAAATAACCCTTTTAATTTGTGAACTGAATTAAGCTTAACACCGAACCGTACTTTCTACAGAGCATACGCCTTTCATTCAAGCTACAATATGGTTATTTCCTTCAACATGGCGTCTAAGAGGCGTTTAACAGTGGTAGAGCCCGCTTTAACATCTTCGCACGAATTGACCCCGGCTCGCTCAGTGAAATACCAGGACCACACAGAACACAGGCGTGAAGTGGAAGCAATTCCGCGTTTCGTCTGATGAGTGTGCGTCCCGGAGGCCTAATTTAGTCCTCTTTCCCCTCCCACCTTTTTTCTTATAAGGAAAGGATGGGAAGTGGAAATGGACGTTCCGGACGAGAGGATGCATGGGAAGGGAAAATATTTTCTTTCTGTGCATCCTCTCCTCCGTAGATTATAGGTAGGCAACGCATATGCAATTGCGTATGTCTATGGGCAACAGTCACTTCGCTATTTCAGCGATTT